ACAGAAGGGGGGTAAAATCAAATTAACAACAACAAAAAAATTTGGTTAACAAAATGTATATTTCCTTTAAATGGAGCTTTATTAATAATATTATATTTCACAAAAGGGGTATCTGAATTGTTGTCACACTTCTAGTACTAAGTTTTTGAAACTATAAAAAATTAATTTGAAAACAGTTTTTTGACATTCACCCTGTTTTATGTACAGTTGTATGTACATTTATTTAGCTTTGTGATTCATTTTAATTTACACTTCAAGACAAGCATGCTATGAATATAAGGAGGATATTACAAGTCATGGTAATACAAAGATAAAAAATTCTCTTTTCAACACAAGAAGAGAAATTCAGTCTTCAACTGGTCATGCGCATGTAATATTCTATTTGTCAACTTAACACCAATGAAATATCAATCCACTTCACTTAAAAAATTTTTTTGGGCTGTGACAAGCACAATTTGTTAAACCTTAAAGATCCAAGAGTGACCAACATCAATCTTCTCCTAAAATATTGATACATATTCTAGAGAAAAAGCTATGAGAATAAATAAAATGATTTCTAAAGGGAAAAATGCCTGAATCTTTGGACAAATTCTCCCCACCAATTCTACAAGATATCTATGTAGATCAGTAGAATGGAGAATTTGTATATTACGTAGATATTGGAGCTTAACATTATCTTTTCCAACAATATCTTTTCCTGGTGAAGCTGATTACTTATTATTTTCATATGTGAAGATATCATGATTTCACATTAAAGCTCACTAAGAATTACGTTGATGTTAATTGCAGGTGACGAGGTGCATGCAATCATGATCTCCAGGTTGCTATTACGCATGCATGGCATACACGTATATAGCCAGCTTCATTCAGACTTCTAATAAGAATGAATGGAATGCACAGTATGCCGTCTGATCTGACACAGGTTTGCAGCTTCTATCTCTCATAATCTAATTACATGTGTTTTGACCATCTACCACGTGAATCTTATACAAAGCACAGCATTGGAGTAAAAGCATTTTGACCCTTGATTGATGGTGTCCGTACTTCATAACCTTTGGTTATTATAATAAACATACTTACAAAGCAATGACTGTGGTGATGATTCTTACGACTGTGTAAGACAATGCACCTTGCTTACACCTGCTTATTAATGTCCTACAAAAAATAATTAAACGTTAGATAGAAAAAGAGTAGAAGTGTCATTCTGACATTACTCAAAACAAAGTAAACTTGTAGACAGGGTGTGTGGATGAAATGCTATAATGAAAAACAAACAAAAAATTCTGATACTCTCCAGAGCTACATTGTAATAGCTGATATAACATGTAGTTTCTGTGAGCTCAGTGTACTAGGTTACTGTTCCACAGGAGAATAGCCCATGTTCGACATATTAAAATTCAAAAATGACTCTGAGGCTTTCTGCTCATTGTTCTGTATATTTGGTTTGGTTTTCTTTGTGCTCAAGTCTCTTCTGGGAATTGGAAGACAATGAAGTCGTAAATATTTGCAATTTTGACCCTAAAGCTTCAAAGTCATGTTAAAATAATTCATGATGTCACCTCCCCCTCTTATATCTCACACAGTTAATCCAGCAAAATGAAGATATCTGCACCTGCGTGCATCTTCTGTGAAATCAACAGTGTAGCTATTTTAGTGGAACCTTTTCACAGAAGAAGTGACCTGATTTAACAAAATAATATCAATTTGTTTTAAAATCAGGTCACTTCTGTGAAAAGAATATTATTCTCTTCATTAATGCCATATTATAGGAAATTCATAAGAAGCAGTGTTTAGATTATGGATATTGATAGTACTACGTGACCCCATACTTGCCCATCCTCCAGGGGGGTAAGGTACAGCAAGGAAAGAAGTGTTTGACTTGAGGCTTGTCAGACAAAACCACTTCAAAGGCATATTCAGAGGAAAGGTATGCCAGCAGAAATGTCATAAAATTGTAAATCACATAAGCTTCATAGCACTCTCTAAGAGAATCCAAGTAAATAGCTGCCTTAGGAAAACGAAGAGCGAGCCACTGAAACACAAAAGATGTGCCAGTCAGTAAAATTAAGAGGCCATTTATTGGGGCCAAGCAAGCATACACTATTTATTTTAACAGTTTTTATCTTATGTTCAAGGACCATCAAGGCAAGCTTTACTGTATAATCAAGAAAAGGGGTGGAGAAATCCTAACTTGGAAATCCATTGGCCGACACCCCTTTCACCCCTATCCTGGGCGTGATATGATTGACTGTAACCTAGTAAGGAGAGTTAGAGTCTAGAATAGGACCTAGGGTGGGGTAATAGGCACCTAGCAGTCAACTCTCTCCAAAGTGACCACCCTTGCCTTGAAGCACACCAAAGGGCAGGGTTCATACAGATTTTATGATCCAACATTCAAGACTTTTTCCAGACCGTTTTCCAAAACAATAATTTCTTTTTCCAGACTGAAGGTTATCAAATAGGTGATCAATATAGCCTTTTAAAAAAGCAGGAACAAAGGTTTTTTCGTTATGCACTGCAAATGTACAAGGCCAAGATTGAATGAGATTCAACCAAAACAATAAGAAAAATTTCACTTATTTAGCAATGTTGCAGTCATGCCAGGTGGTCTCTTATAGGAAACAGAAAACAGAAGAATAAGTCAAATTTCTGACCAAAAAAAGTCGTCCCTTACAAGAGAGTTTTTGAAACAGTATTTAACTGAGAAAGTGGTCACTTCTAGGAGGTGGTTGCTCATGAGAAGTGGTCGCTATGAGAGAGTTGACTGTACTAGAACTCTAGGAACAAGGTAGTTGAACAACTAACACCGAATGATCAGTAGATCGAAAGGTAGTTGAACGATCAAGCCTTGTCATTGTGGTTTTCTGCTTCAAGCCAAGAAACTTTGTTCCACTTTGTCTCTCTTAACCTAGTCGTATAAATAAGTACCAGTGACATATAGCTGGGGTAACCCTGGAATGGACGAGCATTCAGTCCAGGGGGGAGTATCGATATTCCTAGTAAGTGCTTCTTGCAACCAAAATTATTATACAAGCTCATTAGCTTCAGCTTTGCAGGCCCTATTCAGTTTTTGCATACCTTGACCTTCCTTACACATAGAGGGATAAAGGCTTCCACTCAAAATGTAGCCCAGAGTAACTTAAGTGACCTTTTATCTCTCAATTGACAGTTAAGAAGTAGCCTGGGGCTGTTGTGGACAACTTGATCACAACTCTTGGGTTATATAAAACTATTTCTATTTTTTTCATCCTTCCTTTGAAATTAATTTTCATGAAAACATAAAAAAATCATCTACCTACACTATCTGTTGCATAAATGGGAACCATCCAAAGAATTCTGTTGAGACAAACAAAATACTCTTAATACATCTATGTCAGTATTGGTTGCACTTGTCAGAAAATATGCGTTCTCTTTTATAATTTATTTGAATATATTTATATAGTTTTGCGCCTTAAAACTTTTGAAATTAATTACATAGTCATGCAGTGCATGGGTATTATGAACTGTGACTGAGGTAGAACAAGTCTTATTTTTGGTGCTTCGAATCACACATTTTGAGGTTATAATGCTGTCTGTTCCATGCATATTGAGTAACTAGTTCCTGTTGTTTATGTTTCTGAACGTGTTTTCTGACAGGATTTTATCACAGATGCAGTTTATACCATAAAAATAGTTTCCTTTTTTCTCTGTTAAAGCCTTGAGCTTTTTATCGCTGCTAAATCACCTTTGTTTTGTTGGTTTTCTCTGAAACACCTGCACCTGAATAGTTACATGTGAGTAGCTTTTACATCAAAGAATAGATCATGATTTTCTAATTTGGTTCGACGCTAGAACTGTTGGCTAAATTGCAGAATACACAGCAATGCATCTGTAGCAATTGGAAGACGCTGGAAAACCAGTCGGCAAATTTACAAACGTATTTGGCCTCAAAGCAATTCCCTCAAAGCATTTTTTTGTGTTCAGAAGAACGTTTTCAAGTTTGAACTGCCATTTCATTGTTTACTGTAAATGCTCCTTACCGCTGTGCCCAACTGTCATGCACACTTAAGAATTGGGCCAATTGTGAGGTGCATAAGAAACTCGTAAGAAACCTGACTATCAGAAACGCTCACATATATCCATGCAACTCTGCTGGATATCAGAACGAGCTCTTGTGCACTAATTTGCAGACGGACTACACAAATGGTCTGGACCAAGCATGGGCCAGCTGAGTCGCTACAAATGTAATGCTTATGAGGAAAATCGAATGCTCTAATTTATGTGCATTAGATTTGGCACATGTGGAGAGTGAAGTTTGAAAAAGGCTTTGCGGATGTGAGAGGAGACACCTTGTTTCCCCTGTAGTTGCACATCTTGACCTGTGAAACTGAATCCGAGTATGTCTTGGACCTACTGTAGTTTTTACCTGACAATCCGTCTTTGTAACTCTGGTTTGGTATAGTTCACTAAATGTTGGAGAATTCCCCAGAGAGAAATAGGAATTGTCAAGAACACAAAACATCCTGCGACAAACCATGCCTGAACATGAGTTTGAGCACGATTTTTGTGCAATTCCCAAACAGTTAGTGGAAGAGCAACACACAGGATTACAAAGTAAATTGATATCACCACAGGCCGTAACCAGCTCCGAAACTCTCTGCGACTAAATTGACAGCAAGAACAGCATGCGTTGTTAGACATTGCTGGACGGTTCTTTGTTTCTCCTGAAAATTAATGTGGATGAATTAAACCGCCTCATAGCTCATAGTCACCAGCTCCTAAAAACACTTCAATTTTCCGCGTCAGTCGTCGAAAATCCGTGCAAGCCAACTCTTCATACTGGAGGCCGACCGGTTTCGGAAAGCCTCGTTTTGTTTTGGGGCTCATTCAGCGGTAAACCAAGCAACACGTACGCGCGGAAATTTTGACCTTTGGAACCGGAACCCCAGTCTGGACGTGCAGTTTGTGTCTGTTTTTGATAAGTGTCAATGAACTTTTAGTTGATTTTTGTGTCAGTACACATGTGGAGTAATCGAGTTGGGATTCTTGGTAGAAGTGCAAGAAGAGGTACACTTAAACTATCAATTATAAACTTTTACCCTGGTTCCCTAATCAGACTTAAAATGCCGACTTCTTGTTAATTTCAGCCTTGCCTCTTCTTCAAAGCCGCCTCTACTCAAGCGATTCGGTGCCAAAAATTACAACACATTACACCGTTGTACCAAGAGAAACTGATCCAAGATGGAAAGGTAATTTTTGTTGCTTATGTTATGTTTTTTAGTAAGTAATAGTAAAACTGGTTTCGTGACTTTTGGTATGTGTACAGTGTATACAACACAAGTTTTTCAGCGTTCACAAAATAATGTAATATCACAAGGGTTCAATTTTTCGCTTTTAGATGTAGAGATGGAACGATTTTCAGACGAAGCCGACGTTGTAATAGTCGGTGGAGGGCCGGCTGGTTTATCGGCTGCAATCAGACTAAAGCAACTGGCCGAAGAAAATGAGAAAGAAATTCGAGTTTGCCTTGTGGAGAAAGCCTCGGAAATCGGTGAGATTACATAACTTAGCTGCCTTTTTTCTTTAATTCTTATGTAAGTTCAACTTAGTCTTTTAAAATTTAATTTTGAAAAGCTTAATTTTAATTTTCTACCTCACTGTTTTAACGAAAGAGTCAATTTTTAAAATGTATTTTGCGTTTCAAATGACTGATGCAATCCAATGCGATGTGTTGATGATTGCGTGACATTCACACCCCCGACTTTCCCTCTTTTGCGAGGCAAAGGAAGCCATGTGGAAAATCAAGTTTTAACGACTGAATATTTTCTGGTTATATACTTTGTTTTTGATGTCCTTAACTCTGACAACACTATTTTACACTTTTAGTGATTTGAAATGGAGTTTTATTGTGTTGTCATAGAATATCAATGTGGCTAAATGTAATTTGGGCAAAGTTAACCTCTAACCAGTGCTGGTCAGCAGTTTTCCTAACTATGCTGGGGTTTGTCCCATGCCTCTAGCAATGGCACCTCGACTGAACATGTGTGTCAACGAACGATCGTCAAGAAGCGTTTCACAGAACATTCCCTGTGAATGTCCCAACGGTACCTATAGAGAAAGGAGTACGTTCTCGTAACGGGCCGAGGTGGTTGGAACACCCGTTGAATGTTGAAGCTCATCTATTGGTGATAAGTTTAATCTGAGTATTAGCGTTTGTTAAATTTCTAATTCTATATTATTGCAAGGATGTTTTCTTCAAAACAAAGTGATTTTTATGCAGTATATTGTAGCCTTTAGGAAAAAAAAAAAACAATCTTACTACATGTACCACAATGTAATTTTTGTGTATACTTAATATTTAGATGTTTCTGAATCCTCCAGCACATTACTAAATCCCTTGTCCCATCATATTCTTTAAATCCCAAATTTCACTCTCACTTCCTTTTAAAAACTTGAGTCCTGGCCAACCAGAAGCAGTGAAAAACCCATTGAGAATACTAATCAGTCTAAACAGCTGTGGCTGAACTGTCCTGAAAGCATTGACAATCTTCCTTTACTCCCTAGGTGGACATACTCTGTCTGGGGCTTGCCTGGAGCCACGAGCACTTAATGAACTGTTACCTGATTGGAAGGACAGAGGGGTAAGAGAAAAGAAAAAAGAACATTTAGTTTAACAAAGTAAATGGTAAATTTACCAACTGTATGAGATAAAATAATACAGTAACTAGAGGCTGATTTTATTATACAAAACATGTCCTTTTGAAAATAATGGAAAAGTTATGCATGTTACAGGTCATTAAATTCAGGCTAAAATTTCTTAAACTACCAGGTAGATTGAAATAAGATAAAGATAAAATCAAAAAAGACAAAGGAAATTGAGAATCAACCTAGATCAACAAAGTCTTATCTGAATTTAATTTTGACCTGTATCATACACATCGTGAAAAACATAACTTTTCAAACTGTGGGATGAAGAATGAAAATGTAAAATGGGAGCAGGTTATTATCTAAATCTATGTTTTTTTTTTATTTCTCTAGGCTCCTCTCAATACACCGGTCAAAGAGGACAAATTTGCAATCTTGACAGAAAAAAGAAGAATTCCAGTGCCAATTCTACCAGGTTAATGTGCTACCTTTAGGTTCAAAACTGAATTCTCTTACATCATTGATGAAATATAATATTTATTGTATTACTTTGAAATTTATATTTTTCCAAGTGAAAGTAAGTAACTTAGTTTTATTGCAATTTGCTGGTAAATTCAGTTTATTGTTGCCATTGAAAGTTAGGAGAAAATGGTGCAGAACATGAGGCAGCTATGGAACTTCAACATACATGTACAGCTGTTTCATATGAACTTGATTAAATAGCAGCAATGTACATGTATTTGCAGAACATTACTTTATCAAACAACCAGTAATGTGATGTATTGCATCCCATTTGACAAATTTATAAGAGATGATGGCCAAAGTGCCTGTTACAGGGCTGTCAGCCCCCCACGTCTTCAAATATTGAGAATATTGATGCGGAAGGGATGATAGGTGACATCATAATGCACGGCACATGATGTAATTTGTGAAAAAAAATGCGCGGAAAAGATGTTGTTGGAATTGTAACATTTGACCTAATTGGTTTACTTCCTACAAATCACATTATTGCTTATATTACAATGGCATAGCGGAGTTTGTGACGAAATGTTTGATGTTAACAGTAAATTATAGCTCAAACAACACAAAATATTTGAACTTTAATTGTCAGAAAGTCAACTATGGAGAATTGCGATGTGACTCAGTCATGATTGCTCTAAAAGCAATGAATTCTTAACTCCTGCTTGTTTTTCTAAGGGTGATGCTAGTCTTTGCACCAGAGCGCGTAATTCCTCCCTTGGTGATAACTTTTGAATTAACTTAATTTAACAGTCTTGTGACTGCACATGTGCAAGCAGAGTGTACGTCATGTAAGCACAACTAAATAGTTATGATCAATCGTGAGCATTGGTCGACAGCGTCTCGTCAAATCTTTTTTTGGCACTATTTCTGTTTTTGAGTGTCTATTGACCTGGTGCAAAACCTTCTTATAAAAATAAAAAAAACTGTCCATGGACCTGGTCCAAGACAGGGGGTCCATGGACCCGGTCCATGAAAGTGGTCTATGGACCCGGTCCAAAGAGGGGGTACATGGACCCCTGGTCCATGTTTTGTCCTCACCCATTTTCATCACTCCATTCGTCACTCCATTTGTCACTACTATCTTTTTCCTTCTACCGGTACTTTTATTGGGAATAAACACCTTCTACTACATGTATTTCGGAAGGGGGCCTTTGAGGTCCTCACTGGCTTTGACTGCAACAAGACTAGATTTGAACGTTATTTTGACTGTTAGTGATAATGTTTAGTGGTAGAACAAGGACAACACATGAAGCTTTTCATGTCAGAATTTCCTCTTCACCAGCAAGAAGGTCAGGCTTTTTCCAAAGCTGGTTAGCCGTACTAGTACGTATATACTGTTAGAGAGAATTTGCTGATGATAGCAAAGAAGTTTATATTAAGTATGGAAGTGTTAAAGGATATCGCTGGCTTGCTGACTTTGTGATTAATGTCACACATCTATGCAGCTAAGGAGAATAAATAACATAAAAAACACTCTTACTTGATTCCAACAGAAGCAAAATACCATGATATTACTCCATTGATTGCAATAATATGGAGCTGTAAAAAGGAAGCCATTCTAGGATTCAAGATATTATAGAAATTAATATTCAATTTATGTTAAGAATGTAAAAATCAATGCCTATAGTGTTACTAGGTTGCTATGTGAAAGACAGTAAAGTCCATCAGAAATATAATACTCTGTAGACCCCGTGTTTAATGCAACAGTTTTACTAAGATCATTTTTTTTTCTGTCCATGCTACATCTAAATCTGATCTTACATTTTCAGGAGAATATGCATATACATAAAGGAACTCTGCACTACGTTTAAATAATCTACTTTAATCTACTTGTGAGATGAGATATGCATCTTCTATCTTTGAAGAATAAAAGATTGTTTCTATTTTTATTATTGTTATTATTATTAGTGAACGTTATTATTATTATTATAATTATTGTCATTGTCATTAATATCTATATTACACCAGCAAGTGCTACTAGGCTTCAAAGGCTTTGTACATGTAGGAATATGAAGAATCAACTGGTTGACTTACGTGTATCTGCGTAACGTAACATTTGGTATATCTCTAACAGGATTACCCATGCATAACCATGGCAACTACATAGTCAGGCTTGGAAACTTTGTCCGCTGGTTGGGTGAGCAGGCAGAAGCATTAGGTGTGGAGATATATCCTGGATACGCTGCTAGTGAGGTGAGCCTTTACACTGATCTTTAATAATAATGATATGCTACTAGAATATTAATACCTCACCTTTTTTTCAGAAAACAAACACAATTATTACTGGAGACAAAAAGGCCTATGTTTATCCTAAGGAAGACATAGGGGCAGAGTGGTTTGAAGCCTGGTTAAAGATGTAACTCTGCTGTACAGTATGATAAATGCGTTGTTATCATCTTTCAAACTACTTGGCCTGTGAATGAGCAACTTTAAATGAAAGGACATGTGCCTGACTAGGTCAAGACATTCTGGCTTGAGAAAACAAAAACGTATTGTTTAAAAAACAAGCTGGTCATTCAGGTTTGAATACTCAAGGCAAAGCCAAGAGTTTTTACACCTAATAATACATGACTGTGAGTTTTCTGAATGGCTTCAAAATCTCTGATATAGATCAGCTCATTCTGGTCTAAAAGACTGGATGTAAAGTTTAGTCGTGTCTTTATCAGATATAAAGACACTCATTAAACATTGATTGATTTCTTTTGTTTTTTTCTTTATGAATTATTTATGACCTTTTGAACATCACATTATGTTGAATGCAATAATATTATTATTTGATTACCTTTATTGCAAAGTAACATCTGTTTTGTCTGAATACTGGAGGTAAGCCTGTAACTTATTTATGATCTATTTCTTAAGGTTGTTCAAGGTGGTTTTAAAACTCATTTCAAAAGATACATGTATGGCTATTAAAATAATGTTCTTGTGTTCAACACACAAAAGATGCCATGGCTGCAGGCTATTCTGATTGTTTGAGAAAGTGGCGAGAGATTTTTTAATAAGCCACTCACAAAACATCCCAATTATGCATAGCCAAAGCTACTACAAAAATCCCTTTTCAACCCTCTGTAGGAAAGTCTTAGTTAATGCCCTGAAATCCTAAAAATCATTGCCAGTCACTGATTATATGTACTTTATGATTGGAATTTTAGGTGTTGTACCATGAAGATGGAAGTGTTAAAGGAATTGCAACAAATGATGTCGGAATTCATAAAGATGGCTCTCCTAAGGTGAACTATTAAATCATTTCATCAAATTAATTATTCCTTGATTGTTTCAAATGTTCTCATTACAGAGAATGTTGTTCAATTAATTCAAGCCTCCAAAGAAGTTTTTGCAGACCATGTGTTTATTACGGTCAAACCTGGAAAACCAAGAACACCAAAAATATTTTGGGAATGTTGTTGTGTTAGAAAGAATGTTAATTGTATCGTGGTTTTGTGGCTAGTTCACGCGTGCTGATCTTTTCTTTGATTTGTTGTAACACAATAACATTCCTGCAATATTATTTGAAGTGTTCATGGATTTGCTTGTTGGACTGTAATACTATGTATGAAGAAATGTTATTTTTGTTATTCTCAACCATTACAGGCCATGTTTGAGCGAGGTATGGAACTCCATGCTAAGGTGACAATGTTTGGTGAAGGATGCCATGGTCATCTGGCCAAGAATATGTACAAAAAATTTAATCTACGAGAAAATTGTGATCCTCAGACTTACGCTATAGGCTTAAAAGAGGTAACTAAAAATGTTTAAAGGGCAATAAAACTTCCAGTAAGTGCCACTTTAAAAATATTTCCAATATCTGACTCGTTTTCTAAACATTCAGTGCTATAATTTTAAGGGCCATATGATTCACTTGCCATGAATGAGTTCAATCAATGTTATGAGCATTGAATCAGATGTTCCTTAAAAATTTACAAATATATAGCTTCAAATTTCAGAGGAAAACTTATAGTCTATGAAATACTTTGATAAATTATTTTGTTACACAAGTGTTATAAACGAAGGCAGCTTAAAACGTTGACCCATGTATCCTTAATTAGTGTCAAAATTGGCTCCTTAGCTATGTAGATCAGCGATCAGTTTGTTTGTTTGTTTCAAAGTGAGAGTAAGAAAAGCATAGTAACTCAGACCTGTGATCAGTGGCCATACTGGCAACACCACTAAAATTTATAGTTTTCTGTGTGTTAACAATACTTAGTGGACAAGTGAAAGAAAGTGTTACTCCTTTTTTCATACGTGCACATCATCATCAAGAATAAATGATATAAATCAGTGGCATATCCAGACCTTCAGATAAGGGGGTACCCGATCATCCAAACCCTGAGCTAAGATGTGGGGGGGGGTAAAAAAAAAAATAATTTTTTTTGTGCCCTTCGGTTTGCCCCCTCAGTTTGGTCTAAAAATAGGAGGGGGGGGGGGGGCTGAGGCCCCACAAGCCCCCCCCGTGGATCCCCCACTGTAAACATCAGCTTAGTGCTTGCAGTACCCCGTTGGGATCCTTTGTTAGCATTCTAGATTAAATTTGAATGTGTGTTGGGGTAGGGGGTCAATGACACGGAAGTCCGGTAAAAATTACCGGTTTTAGTTTTTTTTTAAACNATAGCTCCAGAGAAGCATCGTCCAGGCAGAGTAGAGCACACGGTTGGTTGGCCTCTGGTAAGTGGTGCTTCAAGACTCAATGAATTTTTCTTGGTGTTCATTTATTCACAAGCTTCCAAGGTCTTGACAAGCCAAGTTCAAAACTCAGACATGAAGAAAACGAACGAGCGAAAGAGACCCCCAGAACTCTGCTCATCCTTTGCGCAAAATTGTTGTTTTGCCCTGTGTGTTTTTTTTTTCATCACTTCTGCCTGAGTGACTCTGGTCTGTCTGCTTAAAGGGGCTGTGTCACGGCAGTCCAGTTCATTTTGTTTAATTTTGCCAATTACTCGCCCTAAATCGCATTGGAACTTAAAGTAAGCAAAGAAACTACATGGAAATGACAAAATCAGAGATTCGAGACAAACAAATATGTCTTCTGAGCATTATTTTTGAAGTTGCAAACAGCAGAAATCAACTTTGAAAAACTGTTAGGCTGAACAGTTTTCAAAAACCCTAATTTCAATCCTTTTCAATCTTCTTCAGTTTTGCCCATCCGTGGCAGCTGTTGTATCTGTTGTGTTATTTTAACCTTCCTTTAATGTTTAAAGCGGTTATTTTAATGTTTCTCTTAATTTAACAGGCATTTTGTAATTTCCTAATCTGGCTGAATTTCGTGACACAGCTCCTTTAAAGAGTGGCAGACTATGAACGGTCTCCCATTCTTCAAAGTCTGTCAAGCAAAACGTGGAGCAAAAGGGAATGGTGTGACTGAGCCCACTAACTAGGAAGGGAACAGAGACTACAGCACTCGCAGTCTTAAAGAGCGATGAATTATTTTCTTCGTAATATCGATTGTGGACATGATAACCTTTCTTTTAATAAATCATATTTCCGAGAATTCTGAAATAAAGTTAACTTCGCATTGCTCTGCAACGCGTTGAGTCATTAAATGTTGTTCGTACCACAACATTTCCTTTTTTTCTCGCAATTTCTTCACAACAGGATAAAGACACGTATGGAGGTTCATTTCTATATCATTTAGAGGAAGACACTCCTTTAGTCGCGGTTGGATTTGTGGTGGGTTATACATTTATATATGGATGAAGGCTAAACATACTATACCTTATGTACCAGTGATGCATACATGTACAATAATTCTTTATTCACCCATCATTAGGCAGACATGGTCTCTGTTAGTATGAACACATGGAGAACATTCTCTTCCCTGTTCAGTAACTACCCTTGAAAAAAGGAGGCACTGCACAGTTGGAATTGATTAAAACTCCTATAGAGTGGGGAAAAATTAATTATCTATTGTTGGACAAAACAGGATGCCTTTATTGCTTCTTTGTGCTCTGGTGTTTTTGTCTCGCCAGTATCGATAAGAAAAAAATATCCTCTGGAACCCTGGGTAGTGTTAGAGTTGTCCAAAAAAGAACTTTGCCTTATGACGGCAGTCTTAAACAAGCAGGTCACAGGAAATTCAAGAGCGAAAAAAGTGATATTCTTAATAGTTAGTAGATTTCAGCACACTAGATTTTTCTTACCATGAAAAAATGAATAGGGGCTTAGAATTTAGCTCAAGGTTTTCTGTTTATTTGTTTGTTTTTCTTTCAACCTCTCCTGCTAACTCGCCATGCATATGAACCCTTGTGTCTTCCTAGGTTGGGCTAGATTACAGCAATCCTTATGTTTACCCTTTTAAAGAATTTCAGGTAAGCTGTGTGGAAAACCAATTATAATCATCATCATCATCTTATTGAAAACAAGCCTTGGTAGTTTACGGTCGTTTCGCTAACGTCCTGTCCGCTAACTACTGAAGTCGTTTCCCGTACGTGTTGGGTCAGTTCCCTAACTGCTTTCGCCTGATCAGTGGCTGAAAGAGCGAGGTATTTTCATACGTATCGTACTTTTTNATCATCATCATCTTATTGAAAACAAGCCTTGGTAGTTTACGGTCGTTTCGCTAACGTCCTGTCCGCTAACTACTGAAGTCGTTTCCCGTACGTGTTGGGTCAGTTCCCTAACTGCTTTCGCCTGATCAGTGGCTGAAAGAGCGAGGTATTTTCATACGTATCGTACTTTTTTGTATCATGGCTGAGAGAACGAAGCATATACATGCGCAGCGCTCGTCTCGCCTCTTAGCGGAACGATATAAGACGTTGGCGAACGGGAAGTTAGCGAAACGACCGGTCACCGCCTTATTCTTTTATTATTCTTATTGTTATTTAATTATTATTTATTTATTTCTTTTGTAGCGCTTCAAGCTCCACCCATCTGTGAGGCCAACATTTGAAGGAGGCAAAAGAATAGCTTACGGTGCAAGGGCACTTAATGAGGGGGGCTTCCAGGTAGGAGCATATTATTTGGTTACCCCAGGCCCCCTGTCTGTTACCACTCACTTCATGTTGTAGCTATCCTACCCAAAACTTAAGTAGCCTGTTCGAAAATATACGCTACTTCAGGAAAGACATCCTCGGGGACCCGGGGGCTGTCATTCGGGTCTGGGAGAAACGGCGCAACTAATGTTCCGTTTCTCCAGACCCGATTTAGGGCCTGTTTGTGGGGGACCCCAGGTAGGTAACATAATAGGTGGAATGACCCGCCACATGTTACCTCACCTACCTAGGGTCCCCCACCTCTATATAAACAGGCCCTTACTGTGCTGCCTCTATAAGTCCGAGGTTGGATGAAGACTGCTGATCTTTGGTATTTGAGTGGAAAAAAGTGCCTATTCTTGAAACCTGATGACCAAAATATTTGTCGATGTTAGCATTTGAAGATTACCATAATACGTCCTAATATTGGTTGCAATGATTTCTAACTGCAGTACGTATGTTATCTTTGTTCAGTGCATTCCCAAGTTGGCCTTCCCCGGTGGTCTTCTGGTTGGCTGTAGCCCCGGGTTTATGAACGTTCCGAAGATCAAGGGAACACACACGGCAATGAAATCTGGCATGCTTGCTGCCGAGTGTGCTTTTGAAGCTTTAACTGATGAAAATTTCTCTTCCCCAACCGAAGGTAAGTAATGCGCCTGTAGGTTTCGTCTTTTTAAACACCCCTTTTATGGTGTTATCTCGTAAATCCCTTGATCGACTACGTTAATACAAAGCAATCTCAGCTCATTGTATCGTCTACTACATGCGCTACTTCACTGGGCACTTTCAACCATGTTTGTAAATGGCTGCACGAGGTTGCCAGAAATGAACATTTTGTTCGCAGGAATCGTTTCACAAAGTAGAATCAAGTTCCAATTTTCAGCCCGTTCGCTGCAAAACACGCGTTGCGTGACCCGTTTATGTCACAAGGGACGTATGACTTACGACGTCGCGTGCAACCTGTGTCGCAACGGCACAACGGGAAATTGCAAGACGGGTTATACTAAATATTACCTAGCGTTGGCGCCTATGGACATAGAAATAGATACTTTTGGCCTTTGTTTCGGCAGGAAGCTAATAGCTTGATTTCTTTTTTCTAGGTCTCCTAATTGAATCATATGAACCACGGATGAGAGAAAGCTGGATATGGAAAGAGCTTCAAAGCGTGCGCAATATCAGGCCCTCTTTCCACAGTCCCTTGGGTCTTTACGGTACAATGCTGTACACCGGCATTTTCTATTACATTCTCCGCGGCAAGGAACCTTGGACGCTGCGAAATAGCAAACCCGACGCGGAACACTTGAAACCCGCCAAGGAATGCACACCGATTGAGTATCCCAAACCCGACGGAGAAGTGACTTTTGACTTGCTATCTTCAGTCGCGCTGAGCGGGACAAATCACGAGGGGGACCAACCGGCACATCTAACACTCATGGATGATTCCGTGCCGGTTAACCGGAACCTCGCCATATATGACGGCCCCGAGCAGAGGTTTTGCCCCGCCGGGGTTTATGAATATGTTCCTAATGAGGATGGAGACGGATTGAGGCTGCAGATAAACGCTCAGAACTGCGTGCATTGCAAGACATGTGATATTAAGGATCCCAGTCAGAATATCAACTGGGTTGTACCTGAGGGGGGAGGAGGGCCGGCGTACAACGGAATGTGATAGAGAAATGCAAACTCTTATTTTCACTTCAAGGCTTCTACGGGATTCTTTTGTCTTTACTTTTAAAGATAATTTCGAGCCAACTTGTAGTCTTAGACAATTTTGGTGTCACGCACCTTGATAAATTGTTCAATGAGATAATTTTGTCCGGCAGTGTGTTCTATTCGGTTGCCAAGCGACGTGACGTTCCCATTTTAGAATGTAAGATTTTGATTGGTCAATTGACTAGTGACAATTCACCATGTTTTGAAAAGTATTGTTGAAACAACTTCCTTAACAAGAAGGATGACAGCTGTATTTCCACTTGTGTAACAGGTTCAACACTGACAATCGAAGGACGTAGTAAATTAGAACACCACCCAAAGTTTAAATTAAATTAACTGCTTTTATGAGAGGATGATTTTCTCATAACGTTTTAGGTAAAAAACGGCTCGCTTATCACTTATCACCTCTTTCGCTTCCAAAGTTGAATGAAAGGCGTCTTATAAGGTACCAGCTCTAACTTTTGAGTCTGTGGGTGAAATCCTGCGATGTGAACATTTAAACGAAACCTCTTTACCCGTTCTTTGGCCAGGTACTATTTAATTGTCAGTATTTTACAAAATGAAATTTGCGATTTTGGTTGAATTTTAGCTTCAGCCAACTGCGGGAGTAACTCTTAGAGGGTCAGCGGGATTGCACGATCGGTGCCATGCGCCCGAAACGCGCATGACGAGTGAGTTCCGAGCACGCAATCTCGCTTACCAAAAAGATCGTGTCGCGTTCTCTAAGAAAGAGATTGCCGAGCACGTTGCTTTTTCTAAACGTATTTATGTAGTTCGACGAATAGGAACCCAAAGTAGGTTGGCATGTTCTGCAAAGTTCCATTGCATTAATTACCTTTCCTGCCGTGGCTTTGGCATTGCTATTTGGTTTATTTTTCAGTTACATGTATTATAAAAATTTGAAACGAATACATAATAAAATAATTGTTACATGAGGCATCTTTCAAAAGGAGTCTTGTATGATCGCCTATGTCAGCAGCCTGAGAAAAAAGCTGACGCTTCCCGACGCCACCGTTGGTTTCTCTGCGAATTGACGTCTGAGAGACGAGTGAAGATATTCTATGCTAATGACGTGTCAATACCCAGATCTGGGTACTGCTTTTGATTGAATAAAGCAAATTTTCAACCAATCAGAAGCATCTGGGTGGTGCACGTCATCAGTATGGAATTTCTGCGCTTGTTTCTCAGACGTCATTTCAAAGGGGAAACCGCTGGTAGCTACAATTCTAATGGTTTTCAGCTGAATCGCAAGAATTACAGGGTTTCATGAAAACGATGGAGGGAATATTCATTCTGAAAATAATTGTCTTTGATATGACGTCCCGGAGTTTTTCCAATCCTGCTAAAATAAAGGAAAGAGAGAAATCTAGACTTTTCGAGAAATATCGATAGAAAAAATATTAAGCGGAAATTAAGCAAGGAAAGGTGGTGGAAATATCAGGTGATAATTTAGGATTTTTTTGTTTGTTGTTGATAGCAACCTTATAAAACAGAAACAATCGAGTACATTTAGTGTGTAGCTTAAATTATCCTTTTGTGGAGATAACTAAACGTGCTGTCATATTCGTGTGTGCAAGCGATCTAGCTAGAAGGCAGGTGTGATAACAAAGCAATGATTAATAACAAGTTTCTCTGCAAACTTACGGAACACAGACACAAATCTCGAACACCCTAACGCAGCCACGAAGGCAAGATTGAACTTCCGATATTCAAGATTACTTCAGTCATTTTAATGGTCACAATTGATTGTGGACTTTCGTTGAACGCGGAATGTATCTGATATTGTACATTGCACTCACTATCTGTCTATCTGTCTTCTGATTGGCTAAGAGCCTACACAGTTAATTTTGGAAATCGGTTCAACCTACGGATAAGTTAGAGGTTAGTTATCTGCTAGCAGATTAGTGAATAATCTGCAGGTTGCGCGCATAATGCATCTCAAACTGTGTTCCGTGCGATGGTCTGTTTGTCGTTATTTTCTTATAAACAATGTATAATAAAACAATTATAATAAAACAATCATTAGATTCGGTTTTTGTAATACCGGAATAATCTACGTCTCGGTAAGTAGAACCTCATCCAATAATTGTTTAATATTTCACCAATTTTTGCTTAAGTACAGCGAGCCGGCGCTTTCAGCGAAGAAACAAATATAATGGGAAGATGAGCCTGTTGGGTTCATTACCTTGGACAAAAAAAAGCACCAACCGTTCCATTGCCATAGCAACGAAAGTGGTCTACATTGACTCGAAGTGTCACCCTTCGGGCAGACTTGGACCAACATCTAATTTCTCATTTACATTTCACTGATTATTAAACAAAGGACTTGAAAATAAAGAAAATGAACACTGACCACAGGAAAAAGAGGCTTGATTCCATGACAACAACTTTCTCCTTTAAAACCATTAGCAACATAACAGGTGAATAAAGAACTCTGTAGAGGGTACAAATCATTTTTATTTGAGCTGAAAGGTTTTAAGATAATTTGTTTGTAGTCATTTCAAATGATATATTGTATTTTGATTAAATATGCCCGAAATGCTTAAAGCTTCGGTGAAACGGGCAGCAAACGTGCAACTTGTTTGCAACATTGCCGCAAAATGAGTTGAAAAGCAATGTTGCGCGTTTAAACACTCTAGTTCAACCTTGTTTAAAACCTGATTTGTTGCCGGCAAGGCGGGTTTGAGGTAGGTGGAAAAACGCGCAGCATGGCTATTTAACTCGTTTTGCACAAATGTTGCAAGACAATTTGCACGTGTTACGTTGCCTGTTTTATCCTAACTTTATGATTCAGTGCGATTCTAATTAATTTGTTTACTGATAGTTAAAGCGCTGTTAAGTTTCTTTTCACCCCAACTTTGTGTCAGGCTAAATTAAGGTTCCTTATTCGGTTGTGAATTATTCTATACAACAACAAAAAGGTCAGTCACGAGAAACAAGTGCGACGTCATTAGTGCGCCCACTTCTTTCAATGCGGAAAAAAAAGTCTTTTCATCAGCGATTCACTTATAAGTTCTATTCACGACATGTTGATCAATATTAATTTCTTGTACCCTGTTTGACAGAGGAAGAAGGCATTTAAGGGGGAATTAAGATTTCAATCAGTTATTGTTTTTATACTTAAATGCGGACAATTAGGTGTAATTGTTTTTTGAAGGAGCAGAGTGTGAAAGCAAAACATTAAGGTAAGACAGAAACCGAAGTTGTTTATTTTTATTAGCTAGGAAAGGAAATGTACCTCATAATTTGTTCTAGAACCATAGCATGTATTACTAGAAAGGCAGGGCGGCATTACATAGCAGCGATGACTTGCAAAGTATTCTTGCGCAGAACGCTCCTGATTAGATTAAGTAACAAACCCATAGATACTACAGGGCGTCAACAATGACCGATAGTAATATATATTTTTTTAATTGTTGACTGCTCAGGAACAATTTTTTTATTTAAAAAAAAAAATGCACCAGACGTGCAAGTCACCGTTGGCTTTTGAAGGGAGCTGACTTTAGAAGAGAGGAACAAAATTATACACACTCGTGCCAAAGGGTTTTCCGGTTGCTGATAGATGTACTAAACACTGACTTACGAATTAAAATTATAAAACGCTCATCGGACCATTGGCAATTTCAGTTGTATTCGAAATCACGAAAAGATGTTTTTCTACAATCGTGGAATTTTGAGCAGTTAACTGTACATCTGATATCCTTTGATTCTACGTAATGCAAAAAATAATGGTAACTTTCGACGTACAGGTGCGCTGAGGACAAAAAGCTTGTTTCGGTCATGAAAACTCAATACAACTAATTTGCATGCAAATTAGCTATTGAGCAGCAATATAAGCAAACAATATTGGTTGGTTACGTCGCTCGAAGAAGAAAACATTTATTCAACTGTATAAACGCAAGACACCAAGAAGGACGAGTTTGTAATTACTACTTTTAATCGAAACATGTCAGGTATTTGTTATCATCGTTACCCTGTTTTCTGTTTGGCAAAGAACGGTCAATGACCAACTTTCATGCTCGACAAAAACAGTATGGTACTCATAGAAACCGAGTCAGATACGTTGGTACAAAAACGGTTATCTTTACCCCCGAGGGAAGGGGTTACTGCTTATATAATAGCCTTCAAGGGGAGGCTTCGTCTGAAAGGGATACCTTTTTTAGGCTTCAGTTGTATGAAAACCTAGGGATTTTGCTGTTTGAAGAATATAAAAGGAAGATACAAATATCCGGAAATGTTTAAAGATATTTAGCAGATTTTGAGATATTTAGAAAACCTCATGATATTAAGGACAAAATTGTAATATATTTAGAATTTTGTTACGAAAAAATCACTGAAATAGAATCAAACTGAATCATGTTTTTCTAGGAAGCTACATCATTACTAATTAGGGTATGGGCATTTCAGTGACAGAAATTCAAACAAATCTCTGCATATGGGCCTGTTGCAATCAGATTCGGCAATATTCTCCAGTTAAAACATATGCAATGTGGCTGATGTTCAACAAAATGGCTGACATTTGTGTTGCCATTTTNAATATTGGTTGGTTACGTCGCTCGAAGAAGAAAACATTTATTCAACTGTATAAACGCAAGACACCAAGAAGGACGAGTTTGTAATTACTACTTTTAATCGAAACATGTCAGGTATTTGTTATCATCGTTACCCTGTTTTCTGTTTGGCAAAGAACGGTCAATGACCAACTTTCATGCTCGACAAAAACAGTATGGTACTCATAGAAACCGAGTCAGATACGTTGGTACAAAAACGGTTATCTTTACCCCCGAGGGAAGGGGTTACTGCTTATATAATAGCCTTCAAGGGGAGGCTTCGTCTGAAAGGGATACCTTTTTTAGGCTTCAGTTGTATGAAAACCTAGGGATTTTGCTGTTTGAAGAATATAAAAGGAAGATACAAATATCCGGAAATGTTTAAAGATATTTAGCAGATTTTGAG